CCATCATCCCTACATAATAGCACAAGCACACAGTGTAGTAGAATGTTAACAGACAAAAAAAAAACAGGATAACTTAAACTCAATTGTAATTGAATAGTTACATATATTGTTATATGTTAATTCTTCCCATGCTATTATGTATGGGTTGTGCAAATGCCACCCCTACTATCTTGTTTGCATTGTTTTTTAAAGATTGATATTAGCCATCCCTGCAATTACTTCTTTTAAAATTTTTTTTCTTTGCTTGTTTTTAATGCAATGTTTCAATAGCTATATAGGAAGTTGTATATATATAACCAAGTTCTAAATACAATGAGGTTCCAAATGTAATAATTATTATTTAGCTATTATTGTCTAGTAATTCCTGTTTTACCCTGTACTTAAGCTTTTTAAAAAAACATAAAACTTCTGTAAGAAAGCTAACTTCAAGGGAGTAATTATAACATTGTTTACACTAGAATTATGACTTTTTTATTACTACTAGTTATTAATAATACTAATAAATGCCGATACTCCATTTGAAACTGTTACCTCAGTGAAATTGGTTGACACTATTATTTTGTTTTTCAGTTATTAATAAAGCAGCATAAAAAAGAACAAAAATTACAAATATTTACAGACATTCCCAGAACTTGTGACTCAGTCATTACATAGACAATGCTATAAAAAAGAAAAACTGTACAGTATTGTACAGTTCTGACGACCTATTTAAAATACCATTTTGATGAACAACCCTACATAGTGCTATTATCTGACTGATACAATTCTTACAGGCTAAGTTTCACTCTACATGATCAATTTTCACTTTTTGAACTTTATGACTTAATTTACGATATAATTAACTTCCACATTCCGCAGTTGATTCTTAGTTCTTACTTATATGAAAACCACATTGTGGTGATACTAAAAACAAAATGTTGCTCACACATCTGTTTTCAGGATAATCAATCAACCGTGTTTGTTTGTACGGATGGATGCTTTACAGTAGATTTTGTATCTTTAATATGTTTCTGTTTTCTGCCTCACATTGTAAGATGGTCAAGAAAAATAAAGAACTTCTGACCAATAAGGCTTGTCAATCTCTATTCTCTGAATACAATAGATACAAGTAATAGAAGTGATCTGATTTTGTTTTTTAGTTTTTAATTTCTTTATTTGAAAAAAAAAAGGGTCCAGCTACTCTGACTTTCATTTTAATTTCTAAACTCTTTAATTCTTTCTGCACAGGCCCAGTCAAATTAACTTTGTATTTGCTTAAAGACATTATAGTTTTGATACAGTGCATGTAACCAGAAAATTTGGCAGACTTTCAGTAAACATTACAACTCTCTAATATACAAAATATCAGATTGTTGTACAGAAGTATTTTTTTTAATAGCCTAAAAAAAATATTTGTCCATGAATATATCTAGTCATTTTTCTGACTAGTCTCAGTGCAAAGTGATTTTCATGTTAAAATTAAAAATACTTTTCTTCATTAAAAAATCTCAAATTTCATTTGGAAAATACCTAAAACATCTTAAAATACATTTCAAACGTTTTTTTTCAGTAATACTTTATATTTTATCTGTTATTTTCTCTACCATAACTCTATATAAGGTTGGTCAATTTGACTAATCTCATAATCACAAAAAATAAATAAAAATATCAAAATAGATTTAAATTACCCTTTTTTTTCTTTCTAGAATGACCTTATATTGTAACATTAAACTACATTCGTTTATCCAAAGTAGCTTTAAACTTGTGACAGTATAAAGCTATTTATACATAAATGTTATTGTTTTATTGCCCTTTGAACCATGTCTTACTACTATTCATGCCATTATAAGTTGCAAATCACTTGGGGAATGTATGACTCACATTATGCTAACAAATTACATTACCCAAGAGCTACTCCGAACTGCTCATATATGTGCCTTGTGATAAGTTTTTATTATATTATTTCTTATTTTACCTAATCTAACCTTAACTAACCTAAAGAGATCTGTATTTTTACATTTTAGTTAATTTTATAACAATAAATAAAGAATAAACATGAAAAACAAGAAATAAAGTACTTATCTGGGCATTCTTTTTTTTTTGCTATTGACTGTCAATGACACTTAACTCCTTACTTTTTTTTACATACTAATGGTAGTATTGCACTAAATGATTTTTATTTAATTAAATAATGCATCAAAGAACATAAAATAATAACATGTAAAAATAAAACAACTTCCCACAATTTTTCTGGCTTTCTAATCATGCGACGAAAGCCGTTACAAATTCATTCAAACTAGTGGTTATCTTTTCCGTGGAACAAAGCATGTATTAATAGTGAAATTGACAATTCTCTATACAAAAAACAATGCATTATGATACATCATTTGATAGATGAAAACTTTGGCTTTCTATTGATCATAAGTAATATGGCATTAAATGTAAGAGAGAACTATTAACAAATCCTGAAAAAGAGGATGTCACAGGTGGGTGTGTCAAAAGGGGTCTGAATTTCTATTTGATGGCACTGTAACCAAAGAAGATTGAAGGCTATAAAAATTATGGTTTGTCTGGGCAATGACGACTCATTGAGATTACTTTAAGTTTAATTTTGTACATATTAAAGGAGTGGTGGATAAAATAGAGAAGAGGAGATGTGTACAAAAAATATGTCATGTGTCACACTAAGAGAAATTCAGGATTTTTTAAAATATTGCCTTATAAAATTAAGAACTTAAAACTTTGATAGATTGTTTAGACATAGTATCCATGATAAAACTTTGTTGAATGGATGGCAACTGCCTGTTGTAGAAACACAAGTATAGAGGACAACATTTCGAAAGTCTTCCGCTTTTCACCTTAAGGTCAGTGTGTGTATGGTGTAGTCAGTATTTATAGTATTCTAGTGGATTGTGGAGAGCGTGTTATGATTGGTTGGTTTATCCCTGATTCTGATTGGAGGAGAGAAAATACATTTCAAATTTATACAAATTTTCAATGAAATAAAGAAAAAAACTACATTCATTTTAAGTAACTTGTATCCTTAGGATGTTATAGATAAAGAAACCAACCCTCTTTACTCTTTCCTCATTATTTATTTCTGTTGGTGAAGTTTCTTTGGTTGAAGAAATGTTCTTTACCATCAGGTACTGAAAAAAACAGACATATATATATATATATATCTTATATAAATACACACACATATATATATATACACACTGATAACTTTCACTTAGTTTAGCCTTTCTCTTTGGTCATTTTATGATCAGTTTTATCATTCCTATTTACATTTACCACCTACCACAATTAAAAACTTTCACAAAAATACTTGGTAGGTACATTTATATATCAGCTCATAAACCACTCAGTAGTTTATCCACTGAACATTTCCTACCTTTACAGGAATATCTTGTGGGATTTGTTTGTTGTTAAGTTTAAAGCTACACAATGGTTATTTGTGCTGTGTCACTTCGTAAGAAGATTTAAACTGAAGTTAATTAATTAGTTTAAAAACCTTCCATTAAAACATTACTCACCATTACAGAAAAAACATGTGAAAATATTTAAATAACATTTTATTAATTAGTTAGTAACCAATCTATTAAAATGTTTCAAACATTTAACATAACACAAGGTAATTCAATTTAAACAGCAACTCACTAATAAGACAATATCACATCCACTAGAACATTTCCCATCTTTACTAAACTTCTAGTAAAAGAACACTCAAATAGATTACCAATATGCACTTCCTGTAGCATATGTACCATCATATAAAGATGAGGAGAAATGATAACAATTACATTTACCATTCAGTAGCTGAAGAGATACACTTACAGCAACAAAGCTATAAGTTATGGCTCAATGGCAATTACTATCATAGAAAAGTAAAGCTTTTAACATCATTATCATTATGAGTCAGTTAACAAACGCTACTTCCAGTAAGTGTTTTGGTACCTAGTACCATTAAACTACCTGCTTATAACATCTTCCAGGGTGTATAAATTATTACAAATTAGAATATCTCAAAGTGTACAAGATGGAGAACAGAGGCAAATTATCAAATGTCTCCCATGCAAGTTCTACCCTATTGTGATTCTCTTAATGGCTTAAACAGAGAAGCTATGCAATTTATACAACAAAATCTACTCAGGTATGAATGAGTCAGACCAATGAGATACCTTGATAGATAAATTTCAAAGAAAATCTGCCAAGTTGGCCCCTTCAGCACCATTCAGAAGTGAGAAACATTCATATCCTGACAGAGGCACTGTCTACAGCATTGAGCTTTAAAAGTTGTAACTTAGAGTAAAGTTTCAGAGCAGAATAAAAAAAGCCAGCAGCAACTAAACCTCCTAACAATCCCACACATCATAGATTAATAACTAAATCTCACACAAGTACAGCATAAGTTAGAAGAGAAAGAAGAAACAGTAAAAATGTATGAGGTATGCATGAGATACAGAATCTTAGAAACAGTTTAGAAAGAAAACCAACTTTAAACTATATATAAACATACTATATCAGCTGTAGCATTCGGCCAAACAGTCAACTATTCTTATCTCCAATTGCTATGCCCTCCTGATTTGCTATAAAGAAGTAATTTATTCAATGTTTTAACTAAGAGTGAACCTTTCTGAACTTCTTTGTATTTGCCATTCAATGGACTATCAATAAATGCTTTTGTTCTGTGAATCCTCACTCTGTCTCCTTAGTTCTCATGTAAATTTCCTCATGTTTTACTTCCTCAAGTTTGTGAACTGACTGCATATTCTTGGTAATACAATTGAATGCTATATATAACTTGTTCTACTACACAACAATAAAAACGCCTTTTACAGAAAGAATGTTAAGGGGTTAGTAGACTTTGGAGGGTGAATACAGCAATGTGCATTGACACATTTCCACTCATTCATAGAGGTAAATGTTTGAATATTTTAGAGGACTCATACTGTTTCAATCCACAAGATCATGAAGTTGGAAATGTTGAAAGACGAGTTTGAAAATGAAAGCAGATTTCTATGAGTGCTTATTACCTGGGAAGATCTTTGTGTATTCCAAGTAATGTTATTCAGACTTTGTAATGACACATTTGTCTGAAGTTTGACTGAATGAATTGATCAAACTGTCAAATGAATTGCTGTAAAAGTCAGTGTTATACTGCATGTATAAATGGCATTTTTTAGATGTCTTTTATCTTTCATCATCCAGCCCAACTAAGGGTCCATTGTGTGATCACTGTAAAATTTAGTCTAGAGATAGACACAGATGAATATCTTTAAAAAACGCCAATATAACTAAATGAAAATTAGAAAAAACTGACTGTTCATAACAAATACAAGTAACTGGTCATGACTGTGAAACTTTCCAAACAATAATAACTAACAACCCACACAAATTTTTTTAAATGATTTCCAAACTTGTGGACAGAAAAGTTTTATTATCAAGCAATAAACATTATCATATATATATATATATATGTATACAAAAGTATCTGTCTGTGTGAAATGAAACTTAAAAAATATCTATTAACCAACAGATGGTGCCACAGTGTTATCTTGGTGTTTTTCACTTTTTGTAAGTTCTTTTTACAAATGTTAATACACATTTTTATGAACCATTATACTTTTATGGGTCTGCTCTTGACCCTCTTATTTTTTGCCATTACAATTAATAAATTGCAGGTTCAGATATTTGACCATGTAGGAATATTTCTTCCAGAGTTATTTCTTCACATGGTCAACTCTATACAGCTTTATCAAGAAGTAGATTTGAACATAACATTAAAAGATATAAAAGTTCAAATTTTAATCAAGGACCACCAGCAGATGATGACAAATATACATACAAAATGCTGCTTTTATTGAAATACTAAAATGTGATGTTTAAATAATCCAATAAATCAATAACATTGTAAGATAATTCAAATCAACTTTCAAGTGGGGCAAAGAAAAATGGACTGTATCAAAGTATAAAATACCGGATCAGCATCTTTGCTAAGATTTTTTTACTAACAACAGTGGATGATAAAAGTGTCTCAAATTTTGATATTTTGCCCCTTTTTAAGTAAAAACAAAACACATTTTCTGTAAGCTATAAAATGTTGCTAATTAGACCATGCCATGTTTTAGTCAGACAGCCTTTGCTAGGCTAAAAAGCCTAATTTCTTCTTCAATTTATGCATTCTACACAATTGATTAAAATTGATGCTAATGGTAATTTTGGGCCTTAAAGTTTAGGATGATATTATAGATTTGTTTTCTTTTCACCACAGGTAAAATTGGGAATTTAATATGTGACATAGAGTTGTAACCTATTCTTTAATAATATTATAAAAGAAAAATATCCATGTATAACTGAGCAGCATTCTTTTATTTTACAAACTGATGGTACGTTTTTACATGAATATACATAAGTTTATGATTAGGATCCACACACATACAAATATAATATGACAAGCATCAGTAAGCTTGTTTTGCATTTGAGGTTAACTTTTCAATTTGTCATTGTTTCAATATGTTAGAGAGGTCTTCCTGCTAATGTTTGTGTTTTTGCAACATTAATATTATGTTTTTAATTATATGTAATCTTATACAAGTATAAAATATCCCCAATATATACAGGTGATGACAAAATAAACATAAAAAAATGTTTTTTATGAAATACTAGATAAAGGACAAATATATTTTTATATATTCTTATAATGTAATTCATTTTTACAAAATATTTAATTAGAACAAATCCTATGAAGCAAAAAAAAAAATGGATTTACAATCATATGATGGGCATTCAGCTAGTATTTTGATGAATAAAGGCAACTTAGTTAAATTAATTACAAAATATCAATAAAGTAGCTAGTAAACAAAACCAGATATAGAGACAAACTGATCATACCCCAAGAAGACTTGAGGGTTTTGTGTACATAACAACATAAATACTACTTCAAGTTCAATGTACAGTCCAGTTCACTTTACATTATATATATACATGTAAATATATATATATATTGAAAACTGACTGACCTACCAATACAAATATGTCAGATTTTTAAATTTCACTTGGTTAGACTTTAGTTCCTATAAATCTTACAAAATCACTGACTAGTTCACCTAAATCATGTAAACCTACCCGTTCAAATGGTGTTATTAGGGTTTTTATTCCTCCAATATTGTATTTCTTTCCTTCTTTCTTTCTGGATGTGCTTTTCAAGTCAGAGTCTTCCTACATTCAAATAGAGAAGTAGTTAATCAAACTTTGAAAACTTACAAGTAATTTTATAAACATATTCTTCAAATAATAAATTGAAATTTTTAATGTTATTACTAACTGAAATTTCATAAGTTTAGAGATAGTGTTCTTTTATAAGCTTTCATAGAGGTTCTTATATCGAATTTCAGTTGATTTTTAAATCAGCCAGATTTAGACAGTTGAATATTACTGTACAAGAAATCTCAAGTAGTCCTTCTGAAGGTTTTACATTTTTTTAATTTACTGACTGAAACACAGTAGACATATGACTGAGCACAAACTGTATGATCCTGATGAAGGCATAAAGCCAAAATGTTTATGAAATAAAAAAACTTGTAAGATTCTCTGGAGTTCATGGGCATTTTATTCATGTGAAATTAGACCTTCTGAAAGCACTGGGTTATCAAGTTTCTTGTTTTCTGGTTTATCTCATTTCTTTAATTTTTAATATCAGGAATGTAAGACATAAAAAACATTTTATAACACACAATGGTAACAATTAGTTATTGTAAAATTAATATCTACTATAATAATACTCAGTTTTTGTCTGTCCTGAAAATGCACTTGTATCTTACTATCTAAATGCACATCTGCAAGCACTTCATTTCAATGGATGTAAACAAAAGGCAGATATAAATATACTTTAGTAGACGTATGTACAATAGCATGTTAAAAGCTCATCAACCATTTTAAAAAGTACTAATGCAAGGTCATAAAATAACATTATAAATATATTTACTGATAGTATTAGGTATGATAAAGTTTAGCCCTAACTAAGCTAAAGCAAAAAACATTCACAAGTTATACAGTGTTAATTTATTTCTTCATCAAATATAGGCCATACTTAATAAAGGCTTAACTAATGTTAGGCCTAAGACAAGAATGACAAATTATACCTCCACTGTACTTTACATATGAAATAAATATATGGTTGCTGTTGTTGAACCATCACATCAAACTCTTTTTGTGGAAAATAATTTCTTTAAAGTAATTAGGTTTAAAGCACAAGCTTTCTGATCATTTTAAGTCAAACTACTATGTTTTTATGACTGTCCCTGCAACATACAGGAAGCACTGGTATGTATGAATAACTTACTTTTTAACAATAAAGAGTAAGTATAATCAAGTGCAAAATTTATGCCTGAAGTGATAATTTTTTTATTTATTGGTTTGTTAAGATAATATATGAATATGAAGCTGCCTAACTCTGGAAAATTAATGGAGTTTTCAGAATTTATACGTTCTTAAAAACATAGAAACTGTATTATTTAAATGCATTCTTCAGTGTTTGCTCAATAATCTTTCCTTGTATGTGAGTGTGGAGAAAAGTTTCTTCATTAAATCAATGTATCTTTAATGATTTCTCCCTTTAATATTTTACTTCTGTTGCTGTTTAGATATAATTCCTGTTTTTCTTTTTCTGTATATTTCTATATGTTAATGAGTTCCACAGGTTTTTTAGTATTTTCAAGGCAACTGGTGAGAAAAATTTAATTAATTTATCATGACTTACTCCTATAAAATGGATAAGGGAACTCTTTGATATTTGTTTACCGATATACATTATTGAAAATTTAGAATTAATATACAAAACTTGGAATATATTCTTGTTTTACCAATGGTGCACATAATTCCTTAAAACATTTTTTCCCACATGGTATCACCTATCTGTCTATCTATCTATATATAAAGACAAACCAGCTCCTAACTCCTCCAAACTTATTGGGCAATGTCAACCAAAATTTGTATGTAAACACTATGACCTATGGGGTCCAAATTGAACTTAACCCTATTTCTATTTTGTAAAGCCTGTTGGTTAATTACTTCCAGCCTATTGAGTCAATCTCAAACAATTTTGGCAGGTTGACACTTTAGACAATGTTGAATATTCTAAAATGATTAAAGGTCAAAGTATGAAAGTTGCTGGACTATTTCTCAAACAACCAAGTTTTTCTCATGATCAATGAGATGTAGGGTATTCAAATGTTTCTGTAATTTTAATATTACTTTTTCTTTCAAAGCCTCATATCATATTTTAGCACATTCACAAAACAATAAATTTTTAATCATACATTCAAAGAACATTTTCATTTGTTTGATTTTTTACAAATGGCATAATGTGACTTAATCTTACCTTTGAAATCCAATTAAACAATGTAGCAGAAGTTTTATGTTTTGTAGTTGCTGGAGAGTATTTAAATGATGCTTTGAAACACCTGTTCTCTGGTGCTACATCATCCAGAAGATAAGTATTAAGTGACCCATCTTCTGTTATCAAGTCATCTTGAAAATAAAAAGTTATGTAACACATCAATATAATGAACTCTGGTACAACTCTTTAGCTTAAATATGTTAACAGCTACTTAAGTTCAATAATTTCAAGAAGTTTCTTTTTGTTGTGAAAATGATCACAAAAATTTATCCAAAGATGAAAGCCTAACTTTTCAAAAACTATTCAGTGTTTTTATTTATTTCAAGACACAGGTGAAATTGAACATTGTGTTTATGTCATACATCATCAGATTTAGCTCTTTCAAATATTCTTTTGATTCAAGCTGATAGAATGAGCATTGTATTATATCTCTCAGTATAAACTGGTTTTTAAAATATTAATGTATCATATCTACTCACCAAACAAGGCAGGTGCATGATCTTCTTCAAGGTGGGGTAGCATGTCATGTGGGCAGTAAAGGACATTATTGGTATCAACATGTTCCTCATCAGAAGGAGTCTTCAGGTGCACCTCAGCATATTCTGGCTTTAATAAGGAAAAATATTATCATCACACATAATATTCCAAAGAGGCTACAAGATAGCACATCTTATATAGTTTTGCATTTAAACCTTTCTCAATGGGTATCCCTTTAAACCCTTTTCTGCACCAGTCACTGTGTTACATTCAAAATTTAATTAAACACCTTTAATATTAATGTATGTGAATGAAATTAACATTATAATGTATGTTATTATTTGAAGTTATATGTTATCTAAGTTTAAGACCTTTATTTCAAAAGAAACCTTTAAAAAACTACTTACAACTTCAGATATATTGTCACGTGACCAATGAGCTATGAAAATTCTCTACTTTAGCACTCTATATCTTCAATAATACAGTTGAGTAGGTGTATGTCTAAACTAAAAGATGCTTATTCATACATTTCAAAGTTCTCTGATGAATGCAGTTGAAACAAGTAATAAACATTTTCAACCCCTGACAGGAGCCATACCCACTTTCAACACATTTGTTTGAGCTTTTAGCCTCCATGTAGATGTTACATACATGTGTATAGTCATTAGAAATAGCTCATTTTACACGATAATCTAACAATGATTATTAAATTGGCATACACTTGTCATCACGGAGTACATGTAACTGACTGTAGTATTGTTGGCTGCTTGATCGACTATAGCACTTATGGTGAGATAGTTTAAATTGTATTTAGGCCTTACTATTATATTTTAGTTAACTATGTAATTGTTATGTTTTAAAATGCATAATTGAAAGATATAAACATTTTTTAAATATACATTATTATTTGCATCAGTTCTCAAGACTTAGGATATTACAGGGTAAACAGAAATTTTGCTGAAGGGTTGCGCATATCTGTCAGAGACACTGTAATATGCTTCAAGAGCATTGTTGAGTTATGTCAAGAGGAATAATAACTGGTAACAGACAAGAAAGAGAAATAAAACATTAAGAATTAACTATATGTGGAAAGGAAAACACCCAAAATTACAAATATAAGCAAAACAACATCTTTAAAGACATTCTACAAAAAATTAAAAGGTATGTATTTTTTTTCCCTATTTCATAATTTTAAACATTTCATTGCATCCATGATAACAGCTAGAGTTAGTGATATGGTAGAGAAAATGAAATATAAGCATTTACCTTAACAAAAACTTTTGATATTCATTTAGGAGGTTCTTGAGGTTATGCAAACGAAATATAAAAACTATAAGATGAAAAGTATGTTTATACCTAAAACGAAAATCATCATCTATTTTAACAGTTTGAGTGCAAATAACTACTATAGATAAATAACGTTTTTATTAGAAAAATGTAATTAAAATAATGTCATTCTTTGTGTGCAAAATCTTACAAGATGTGGTGAGGTACACACAGAGTTACTGTATTTTTGTTGCATAAATGTCCTTCCCTAGTTGAGCAGATGGTAATTATGTCCACTTGTGCTTAAAGGGTTAGCCATGATAACTTTATGTCACATTTGCTTTATCTCTCATAAATGAAAAAGTCAAATACAGAAAAAAAACCAAAAAACATGAACAGTCATATATATATATACTGATTTTTGGATTATATATTAGTACAAATTCTTAAACACTGTACTGATAGATGCTCCAAACAACATCATGCTTTAAAAACATGCCAGAAGTCCACTGGTAACATTGATAAAAGAACTCTTTTCTATGTCCTGTGAGGCAGACGGTCTCCACCAGGGGACAGCTGCTGTTGGCATAACTTCTGAGATTGTCACCTAATACTCAACTCAGCTCATACATTGATAGTTTGTTCAATTAGTTACAGATTTTTCTATTTATCAAACAAATAGAAAAAAAGAATCTTGCATAATAATTTCTTGATAAGAAATTCTTTATACAGGAATTCATTAATAGTTTAGATTTTATATGCTCAATAAATTAAAGTTAATATGTTCAACATGGAAAATATATTTCCAATAGGTACTTACTTTTTCTCCTGATGCAAGTTACTCCCTCTATACTATTCAGCCTAACCTTAACTTTGAAATTAGGCACAAAAGAAGCACTGGAAGTGGGGAGTATCATAAATTGTGGGAAATATGAGGAGGTAAGTATCTATCGGAAATATATTTTCAGTGCAGGAAAATATTAATTTCTAATACAGTATCTTACCTCCTCTCACATAATAGCTAGAATTCCACCTTGAAAATGTGGAAGGACAGGTCCAAAAGTTACCTAGATAAGTAACATTTGGAAAGCATCTGAAGAGGGTCCAAGGAGTGTGACGTCCCTTGAGGGAGGAACACACATGTGGAAGACCACACCACATCTGTACCAGGTATACTCTTTTGCTCAATGAGTTAGTAAGTGTCACAGGAATTGGGTAGGAAATAGTTTTAGCAAATCCAAGACTGCATACATGTTGGTTGGTCCAGCTTGACACCAAAACCAAACTCCCTGGAACCAACATCCAGGAGATGGTAGGATGGAGAGTTCCCAACCAAATATGAGCAATTTTGGGGAAAACTAAATGGATATGTCCCATGATGTAGAATGGCTAGAGTGCACCAGACCTTACTTAGTGGGCCAAATCTAGTCCAAAACCAGGCAGCATTGGATATTCCAACCCACAGTAGTAGGAGAGTTCCTACCCTCGTTACCTCAAGCCTATAAGACAGAAAGAAAAATGTCTAGACAAGGCACATGTGCATAAACCCTCAAATAACACCAGCCATAAGGGAACCCAGCATTTGAGTGACAGTAGGCAGGGAAATGCCCATGTGGTGGTTCACTCAAATTCAAAACCAAATGGACTTCTGGTTCCTTGTTCAGCTCCACACACTACCAGAACTTATAAGTCACAACCCACAAATGGTATTGCTGGGGTGTCTTAGCCAACCAAAGTACTTGTAAGCCAATCCAGCTCTTTGCAATACTGAACTCCCAAGCCAGCTTGATGGCGGAGAAATGCCAGTGGTAGTCTGATCAACTAGTATGTCGTGTCTATGGTAGATTGAGGGCTCCCTACCAACACATGCATGAGGACTTACTCTGGCTGGTTCAGTTTGAATCTAAAACCAACTCTCTGGGAACAGACATCTGAGTGATGGTGAAATGAGGAGTCTCAACTGGAGGGGAGAACTGCATTCTGGTGGATCTAAATCATCTACACTATAGTGCACCATCTTCCCCCATTATTTTCAAAAGTCCCTGGGTTTGTTCTGTCCCTATTCTAAACTAGTTCCACACTTACAAAAGAAAGAAAACTGCACATTTTTGGGGGAAGTTTTGACACCGTCTATGTGATCCACCAGGAAACTGAATGTTTCAAGTCGTGAACATTACGAGCATAATATGAAATAATACCCAAAATTGAAAGGGCTGAAACGTGTATGAAATATATTATTCTAAACAAGTAAATAAATTACAACAACATTTCTGCAACTAAATGAATCATTATAACTCATTTTTTAATGAAATAAAACTTGTATTAGTCTGCATAAATTACCATTACTGCAGTATTTCGATGAAATGATAAGCATTACAACAGTTTTGCTGTATTGCCTACACAGGTTTGGCTTCTGCTTTTGATCCTGTTCAGCCACTTGGAGCACATTCTGATAATGTTCTTCACTCTTGGCCGACACCAAAAAATCTGAGCTGAGTTTCAACTCCCATTCAGCACAATTGTTGATGATGTTTAGAGCTTGAAGGTTGGTTTCTGATGCTTGGTTTGCAAGAAATTGTTGCCAATCTTCAACATTTTCAGTTAGGAACTAATGGTTGAGCTGTAGAATGTGAAATGTGTACCTGAAGTCTGGCACAATAGTTGTTGACAGAGTGATAGCATCTGGAAACTTGGACTTGTCAATTCCCATTCCAAAGTGCTTTTTTAGTACAAGTAATTCTATACCTGCCTTCACTGCCAAAAGGCTTTTAGCAAGAGTATGTTGTTCTTCTAGCTGAAGAGTGCAAGAGGCACCATCTCGGCAGTTAGGTACCAAAGATGCCTCTGAAATACTTGAATTGCACTCCTTGAAACCAATGGGTTCACAGCTTCATACATCAACAGATGATAGTACAGCTTCAGATCATGCCAGGGAGCATCAGCAGCAAAACTGTATGTCATCCACTAGGGGCTGTAGATAAGGTGTCAAAGTTCACAAAATCCCTGGCCTTTGAGATCTGTTGTCTTGTGGTGATTGTTCCAGGAGACAGTTATTGAATTTATTGCTCAAACAAGTAGATTTTAATACAATACAGTAGCTCTGCCATATATCTAGCCTTGTGTAGTGCACCTGGTTGTTTGAATGTAATTGTCTGTTCATCACCTAATCCATCTAGAGAGCTCAACAAACTCCTGGTAAGCATCCCTTTGTAGTTTGAATTCAGAGGGGTAATTTTGAGAACATTGGCTCTGAAGTCTTCAATCATACTGTGTACCTCCCTACTAAATGTAGTTGGGTTGAATCATGAAAGTGGCTGATAACTACTATGTGGCAGCAGTTCAAAGTTCTTGCAAAAATAAGAGAAAAGTGTGGTTTCCAGTAATTTGGAAACCTCAGTTTATATGTCACTGAACACAAGAGAGAAGATAGCCTCTCCAACATGATGTTGGCAGCCTGACCACAAGAGTGCCAGGTAAGGTGCTGCTGGATTGTCACATGTGATGCAGTGACATGCCCAATGTTGGATGCTGTTGTGTGAAATGCAAAGTTGACAATAGAGTTTGTGCAGTGCCATAAATCCAGCAAGTTATCTGTCAGTTCAGTAATGATATTAACAAATATTTGATCTGTACCAAATTGGTGTGATGGAACACCAGAAGCCTCATTTCATGTATATTTCCTACCACTGAGGTAAGATGTTCTTCAGTTACATTTTGGTTAGATAGTGAGGGCAATAGCTTTGAATCACAGTGCAGAGTGGTGAACTTTGGAAAAACCACTGTTCCATGCAAGATATTGCTATGCTGTGATTTATCAGCTGTTGCATATGATGTTGAAAATTTGAAAGATCACTGCTTGCCTT